CCCAGCACTTTGGAAGGGCGAGGCAGACAGATCACCTGAGGTCAGGAGTTTGAGATCATCCAGGCCAGCACAGCGAAACCCTGTCTCTACTAAAAATTCAAAAATTAGCTGGGCGTGGTGGCACGTGCCTGTAATCCTAGCTACTCGGGAAGCTGAGGCAAAAAAATCGCTTGACCCTGGGAGGCAGAGGTTGCAGTGAGCTGAGACTGCACCACTGCACTCCAGCCTGGGCAACAGAGTAAAACTCCATTTCAAAAAAAAACAAAAAACTGAGAATGTACTATTATTTTACATTTAAGAATGATTTTTTTTTTTTTGGTGTTGTACTTCAACTGACAAATTCAACTGATTTACTTGATAATACAATGCAAATTAAAAACTAAATTGTCAGTGTTGTACTGACAACTCAAAAATGTCAACTTAAGAAAATGTACTTCACTGTTCTGCTGTCATATATCATTTGAACATTTAATCTTGTGCATCAATGATTCACAAGGTGAGGAGACATCAAAATCACCTGGAGGGCTCTTTTTAACTAAACATATCTAAGATTTTAAAGACCCTTTTCCCCTGCAAACACCCCATCCACTGAGGGTCCCTGTCACAGTTAATGATCATTATGAACAGGAGAGGTCACAACCCTGAGATGTAAAGTGGCAGAATAAAGGATGAGACATACTGAACAGATAGTCCCCTGTTTCTTTTCCCTTCTTTTACAGTTGAACTCAAAAGTGGCAAAACAGAACCATCACAAATTAACAGACAGGCAACAGACAAGTTTAAGAATTAGATTTACGCCAGGTGCAGTGGCTCATACCTGTAATCCCAGCACTTTGGGAGGCTGAGGCGGGCAGATCACAAGGTCAGGAGTTCAAGACCAGCCTGGCCAACATGGTGAAACCCCATCTCTACTAAAAATACAAAAAATTAGCTGGGCATGGTGATGCACGCCTGTAATCTCAGCAATTCGGGAGACTGAGGTAGGAGAATTGCTTGAACCAGGACCCAGGAGGTGGAAGTTGCAGTGAGCCAAGATTGCGCCACTGCACTCCAGCCTGGGCTACAGAGCAAGACTCCATCTCAAAAAAAAAGGAAAAAAAAAAAAAAAAAACCAATTAGGTTAGATTTTTAGATTTACTAAATTCCAAAGATCCCAAGAGTGGTTTCTCATCAGAACCACCAGAGAAGCTTGTTCAAAACATAAGTTCCTGGGTCCCATCTCAAGACACTGTGCTTAGCTGGTATAAAGGAAGGCCTGGCAATCTATGTTTTAACCAACTATACCTGTTGATGTTGTTTCTGAGCCAACATTTAAGAATCCTGTTCTTAATTTTAGACTCTATCAGTGGGGCCTACTTTAGCTTTTTTCTTTCTTTACACATTATTAAAGTCCTGATGGCTCAAACTTAAAAAACTCCCTAAAGAATATTTTTTAAAGGACAATTTCTCTTTAAAGAAGCTAGTTCTCTAAGAAAGACACTTAAGTGGCTGGGTGAAGTGACTCACACTTATAATCCCAGCACTTTGGAAGGCTGAGGCCAGCAGATCAGAAGGTCAGGAGTTCAAGACCAGCCTGGCCAACACAGTGAAACCCCATCTCTACTAAAAATATAAAAATTAGTTGGGCATGGTGGCGGGCACCTGTAATCCCAGCTACTCAGGAGGCTGAGGCAGAAGAATTGCTTGAACCTGGGAGGCCGAGGTTGCAGTGAGCCAAGATCATGCTACTACACTACAGCCTGGGCAACAGAACTAGACTCTGTCTCAAACGAAAACAAAAAAAAAGGAGATTTATTTTAAGTATATTAAAACATTCAAATTTTGAGTAGTGACAACTTAAATGTAATAACCAATTAAAAAGTAAAAGCAAAGTAGTTTGAAGTTATAATGTATCTGAGAAAGAAAAAAATTACCATAATTTCTAATTACTTAGAAATCTCTGATTCGAATGAATTCAAGGTTCAGTTTTTAATTTGCATTGTACTACCAAGTAAATTTGAAGAATTTTGGCCCTGTGATATTAACTTAACTAGAACAGATAAAATAGAATAGCATGAGGCATTAAAAATAATGATTTAGATATATATTAGAGGCCTTTAATATACGTAGAAATGTTATTAGCTAAAAAAAGGTCACAGCAAAACACCAACAGTATTCCAATCAGGTAAATCTGTTATGTGTGTCTGCATAGAGATATTTCAGTAAAGAGAAATATCAAAATGTTAACAGTGGAATAGCAAAGTTATCAGTAAATGGGAGGATCTGGAATAAATTTTGCTTTCATAGCTACCATTTTCTGTTTTATATTTATGAACAGAAAAAATGAGCTATTTTGATTGTTGAAAATGTGTCTGGAGCTTTAACATATAAAATGTAATATAACTAGAGATCTTCAAGTAGCCAAAACAATAGATCTGAATATCTAGACTACATATTAGTAAAAATGGTAAGACAATCAACAGAAATCTTAAATTAGATTTACAGTCATATCTGGCTTAATAACAGAGATACATTCTGAGAAAGGCGATTTCCTCATTGTGCAAAGATCATAGAATGGACTTATACAAACCCATCTGGTACAGCCTACCACACACCTAGGATACAGGATATAGCCTACTGCTTCTAGGCTACAAACCTGTACAGCATGTTACTGTATTGAATATTGTAAGCAACTGTAACACAATGGTTAAGTATTTGTGTATCTAAATATATCTAAGTATGGAAAAGATACAGTGAAAAAACTATATTATAATCTTTGTTTTTAGAGACAGGGTCTCACTCTGTCACCTAAACTGGATTACAGTGGCCCAGTCTCAGCTCACTGCAGCCTCGACCTCCCAGGCTCAGGTGACCCTCCTGCTTCAGCCACCCAAGCACTACAGGCACCTACCACCACACCCGGCTAATTTTTTTCAATTTTTTGTAGAGACAGGGTTTCACCATGTTGCCTAGGCTGGTCTCAAACTTCTGGCCTCAAGCAATCCGCAACCCCTCAGCCACACAAAGTGCTGGAAGTACAGGCACAAGCTACCACACCTGCCTAATACTATATTGTAATCTTACAAGACCACAATCATACATGAGGTCCATTACAGACCTAAACTACTTTGTGTGGCAGATGACTTCTTCATCAAAGACACAGATCATTTCTAATTCCTTCTTTATTTCCTAGTATCATTTAAAAACACAGCAGAAATTGAGATCAGTTAGTTTATAATTTTCATTAACCTAATCCAAAAATAAAGTGTAATACCAACAATGAGGTAGCTAATTTAAAATTCTCCTTTAAGGTATAAGAAAGCTTTTTTAAGGAAAAACAAAAAACATCAAGCTCGAAAGTTTAAGTTCTAAAAGTACAGACAACCTGGGCCACGGGGGGAAAAATGTAAAAAGAGAAAAATTCTTTAAGTCTTTTAAACAAAAAGTATGGGCTGGGTTCAGTGGCTCACGCTTGTAATCGCAGCACTCTGGGAGGCTGAAGCAAGCGGATTCCTGAGGTCAGGAGTTTAAGATCAGCCTAGCCAACATGGTGAAACCCCATCTCTACTAAAAATACAAAAATTAGCCAGGCCTGGTGGCAGGCACCTGTGATCCCAGCTACTCAGGAGGCTGAGACAGGAGAATTGCTTGAACCTAGGAGGAGGAGGTTGCGGTGAGCCGAGTTTGCACCACTGCACCCCAGCCTGGTAGACAGAGCAAGACTCCGTCTCATTTAAAAAAAAAAAAAAAAGTTATGTTAACATTTTAAATGGTAGAGCCTGAATATGATTTGTTCATATCTTTGAAGTTATCAGCTTTCTCACCAAACACAACATGGCTATCACCAAACATCAACTATAACCTGGACGAGCACAGAAAATTAAGTGAATGTTTCCTATAGCTGATGTGACAGCACTTCGCTCTCCAACCACAAAGCCCCATAATTACAATGCCCAGTCATCTCATTTATTTTTTTATTTTGGTATATCATTTATTTTCTAAAAGCAAACAATCACACCAAGTTGCTTTTCCTCCACTTTAAATGTAAAGAATTAAAGAACAAAAAGCTACATAAGCATCCTGAAGTTAAAACTTTCATGAATGGCAACAAAAAGAACAGTTACTTATTGTTAGTACTTAATAAATACATCATTCCACATCAACTTTTTTTTTTTTTTTTATTTTTTTTTATTTTTATTTTTTTTTACTTTTATTATTTTTTTTTTTTTTTTTTTACTTCAATTTTTTTTTTTTTTTTTAATGAGTCTCACCCAGGCTGGAGTACAGTGGCAGGACCTCAGCTTACTGCAACCTCTGCCTCCCAAGTTCAGGTACTTCTCCTACCTCACCCTCCCGAGAAGCTGGGATTACAGGCATGTGCCATCACACCCGGCTAATTTTTGTGTTTTTTGTAGAACTGGGGTTTCACCATGTTGCCAGGCTGGTCGCGAACTCCTAACCTCAATGATCCACCCACCTTGGCCTCCAAAGTGCTGCGATTACAGGTGTGAGCCACCACACCCAGCCAACATTAACTTTTTAAAAGTAATTTCTGTTCTGAGCTGACAACACTGGCCAACATTACCTTGCAATAGTCATTTGTTTTGCTTTTTTAACAATGACTTTTTGACATTATGACAAATCTTAATGGTATACCTTACACTTAAGTTACCTAGTCTAAATAAATTTGGTAGTAGATATTAAGAGCATGTGGCAAAATTATACTCACAAGAATTGAAAAAAAAATAAAATACGCTGAAAGGAAAGACAGGAAGAGAAACAGAAACCAGTGAAAAGAACCAAGCAAGAATGGGAACAAGCACACATGGGCAGCTAGAAAAAAACAGGACACAAGACCAAATTTGGAAAAGGCTGAGAAATGGAGGATAGAAAATAGTAAAATAAGTAGGAAAAACGAAGATGCATATACTACAGAGGGAAAAATCTAAGGGGAAAAAAAGGCTATTTCATTTATATACATGAATTCGACCACTAAAGGTAAACACACATGTAGAACTTACCTGGTTTTCCTCCTGTACAACTCTGTACTGTTCCTTCCAAATGGTGATTTTGGAAGCTTCATCTTTTCTCAGGGCTCGTTCTTTCTTCAGCTCTGGGCTCCAGAAGGTCTTGATGCTATTCATTGAAGAACTCAATTTGCTCTCCTTCACTTCCACATCCTTCCTTAAGAGATCATTTTCCCTTAATACTTCCTTCAGCTGTGTCTGCAGATCCATGATTGTATTATCTCTTGCCTGACGAAGAGAGTGAGGCACAGTGGATGCCATACTCACAGGTGGGAGGTGATGCTCTCCAAATGCTATCGTGTCACTAGCAACCCCACTGCTAGCTATATTGGGGCTACTACCCATAGCAGTCATCCGAACACCATAAGGCAGACGTCCCCCAGAACGGCCAAGTGTCATGGTGCTTTTAGGTGTTTCTGAACCCACATTTTCATGGTCACTTAGGTACATAGGGCCAGATGTGGCATAGGCAGCATTCAAAGATTGTATATTTTCCATTGAAAGGGTTTTCCCACTGCCACCTCCAACGCTGCTTCCAGAACTCCCTCCGGTACTATTGGTTCGACGATGACCCAAGCGAGGGGAACGTGGAAGCCTGGGTGAACGTCCAGGACTCTGGTTGCTCGGTTCCACCTTCCCAACAGAGCGAGCACTTCCATACATGGTTGCCAGGTCAACTTAGGAGCCAGAAAAGGTGTAAAGCAGAAAAAAAAAATGGGAACTTTGTGAGGTGTCTCTGTGGCTGTAAGTCAGTTTAAGGTTAATCAGAAGAAGGTCCCAGCTGTCCAATCTTGAAGAAGTATCTTACACCATATCTGCAATTAAAAGATCACACATTAAATCCTCCAATAATAAATATTTCCCTTCTCAAAAACTTTCCATTACCCTCACTTAAGGAAGATCCACCCCTTCTCTACCACGTACTTGGACATTCAAAATGTGATTACAGCATTATGTACTTCACAGTAAACAATATTTTAGAGATATTTTAGATATCTCAAAACTGAATGCTGAAAAGATACCATCCAACTGAAAAAGAAAAAAAAAAAAGTGCCAGGTACAATGGCTCATGCCTATAATCCCAACACTTTGGGAGGCCAAGGTGGGAAGATGGCTTGAGGCCTGGAGTTCAAGACCAACCTGGGGTACATAGCAGGACCCTGTCTCTACAAAAAATAAAAAGAGAAAAACAAGAAGTATAAAGACTGACACAAAAAAGATTAAAATAAATATCTGAATATATAATTTTCTAACTGAAAACCCAAGATAATCAACTGACAAGTTAGTAGAATAACAGAACTCAACAAACTGATCAGACTCAAGATCAATATATAAACACCAATACTTTCACATATATTTCAGTAGTAACAACTAGAAAATGCAGTTTTTAATTTAAAAGAAATTTTAAATTCCATTCACAACAGTAACAAAACCGTAAAAGCACTTTGATTTAAATCAACAAAAATGTGCAAGCATTTTTGGGGGGGAAAAAAACTATAAAACTTTACTAAAAGACATGAAAGAAAACTACAAAGAAAAGTTATCTGTGTTCATGGATGAGAAGACAAACACTATTAAGATTCAGTTCTGGCTGGGCGTGGTGGCTCAGGCCTGTAATCCAGGCACTTTGGGAAGCCGAGGTGGGCAGATCACGAGGTCAGGAGATCAAGACCATCCTGGCCAACATGGTGACTAAAAATACAAAAATTAGCCCGGCATGGTGGCACATGCCTGTGGTCCCAGCTACTTGGGAGGCTGAGGTGGAAGAATCGCTTGAACCCAGGAGGTGGAGGCTGCAGTGAGCCGGGACTGCGCCTCTGCACTCCAGCCTGGTGACAGAGCAAGACCCTGTCTCAAAAAAAAAAAAAAACATTCAGTTCTTTCCAAACTACTTAGTACAATCCCAATGAAAAATCTATACAGGATTTTGCTAGCCAGCTATAGATCCCTCCCTTTTACAGGTGTTGAAGGATTTTTCAAGCAACTCAACAGACTGACTCTAAAATTCAAATGGAGAGTAAAGATACAAGAGTAAACAATTTAAAATAGAACAAAGAAGGAAGACATACATCCCTCAACAGCAAGATAAATTACAAATCCATAATTCATTATTTGTACTGCAAAAATTCAAAAGCTCTGAAAATAAGTTTTTCCTTAACTCATCCGGCAGCAAAACCTGACCTGATTTGAGCTTACTGTTTATATGTATCCCACATAGTGTGACTTCACATATTTCATTGAGAAAACAATGTGTGTGGTTACTGAATACTACATAATCCCCACTAAGTATTACTGGAAAAAATTCCTGACAACAAAACCACATCTGACCAGCAAGGTTTCTCATAATATATTGTAGCCTTGTAAAGCTATAGTAATGCAAATGTATAGCACTAACCGAAGAATAGGGTCTAAATTATATATGGGAATTTAATGTATGTTAAATGTAACATTTCAAAACAGTGAGTGATATGGTTTGGCTGTGTCCCCACCCAAATCTCACCTTGAATTGTAATAATCTTCATGTGTCAAGGGTGGGGCCAGGTGTACAAAACTGAATAATAGGAGCGGTTTCCCCTCTACTGTTCTAGTGGTAGTGAATAAGTCTCACGAGATCTCATGGTTTTATAAATGGGAGTTCCCCTGTACAAGCTCTCCTGCCTGTCACCATGTAAGATGTGACTTTGTTCCTCATTCACCTCTGCCATGATTGTGAGGTCTTCCCAGCCATGTGGAACTGAGAGTCCGTTAAACCTCTTTCCTTTTTAAATCACCTAGTCTCAGGTATGTCTGTATTAGCAGCATAAGAACAGCCTGTATACAGTTAGGAAATGAAAAATCACTCAATAAATGAAGTTTGAATAACTGCTACTCTTTGAAAAAAATAAAGTACATCCCATCTTCACATAGTACACCAAAATAAATTCCACATATGTTAAAGATATACATTTTTTAAACCATTAAAAGTACTAGAAGAAAATTTTGAAGACTATCCTTGTGAACTTGAGTTAGGATAAGGCTTTTTTAAAAAACCAAAAGCAAAAACCATAAAGAAGAACAACTAATACTGAAACCAGCTCGGCCGTAGAGACCCTACCCAGGCAGTGCTGAAGGAATTAAGAAGCAGACACCCAGATAAAACAGCAAAGTGGGACTATCCAGGGGTCAACAGCCTTCCAAGCTGAGAGCCTCAGGGGGCTGATGGGCTGAGGGCCTCGAACAGACTCTCACCCACGTATTTATTCTCTCTGAACAGGTAATTACTATTAACAAACAGATGTTTTGTGTTTTCTCATAGAACCAAGACAAACTAGGTAGGCAGCTGGTGCCTGCTTACCACTGATCAAGGACAAACTAGAAAGTATTCTCCACAAGGGAGCCACAGGGGCAGGGTCACATATCCCACGCTTAAACAGTTGTTTTAACCAGTGTATGATATACATATACTGTTTTGCTATTTTAGAATGCCCCAAGCAGTCTTCCACTTGGGAGGAGCCGGCCAGGTTTTCCTTGCCATCATTTTCAGCAAACAATATAATTTATCATACACATTAGGACTTGTCCCAATACAATTATGTCAAAATGACAAAATATTATACCAAAAAATGCTGTAAATAAAGTTAAAAGATAAACCAAAAGCTAGGTGAAAAATACAGTCAACATATGTATAATGATCTTTAAACAGAATATATACAGAACTCCCACATGGGAAATGCCAATTTTGAAACAGCAATAATTAGAGGGAAGGAAACTTGTGTTATAAAAGGGAAAAACACTTGTGAAGGCTTTAGCTCAGCTTATAAAGCTTTATACTCAAAACTACCATAAAGCGCCTGAATTTAAAAAAAAAAAAAGAAAAAGAAAACATGTTCATACTCTACAAGTATAATTAAAACAAATTTTAAAAACACAAGCAGTTGTTCCTTGGTATCTGCTGGAGATTGGCTCTAGCAGAAAGTTTACGGATATCCAGGAACCACCCTGCCACTCCCCTCCAAGACACCAAAAATCCCAGGATGCTCAAGTCCTCAAGTCCCTGATATAAAATCACACAGTATTTGCATAAAACCTATGGACATCCTCCAGTATACTTTAAATCATTTCTAAATTATTTTTAATACTTAATACAATGTAGATGCTATGTAAATCATTGTTAAACTGTGTTTTTTTTTTGCATTATTTTTTCTTGTTGTATTATTTTTTTCCCAAGTATTTTTATTCCCCCTCCCCCCTTTTTTTTTCAAGGTGACTTTAAGATTCCTCTCCGAATATTTTTGGTCCACAGTTGGTTAGATTTATGAATGCAGAACTTACTATACCTATCAACTTTATACACTTCTTTCAAAGACAATACAGATCTAAACTAGATCTCTCTGCTTTCCTGGCATTATTTAAAAGAATTGGCTTAGGTCAAGAAACAATATGCTTCACCATATTAAATAATATTTTCCAAAAATCCATTGTTATGTAAATTGATTATAAGTGTTTCTTCATTGAAAATAGTACCCAAATAATTTATATTGTCAAAAATAAGATTCTAAAGACAGTACCTATTCTGGTCAAACTCAAACAGGTTAAAAATCCTCAAAAATGTGAACCAGACAGGTGGTCTCATCTCTAAATTAGTGAACCAGTAAAGAAAGCCCTGGGCTAACAACAAACAAGACAGGAAATACATAGAACCTCAATCTTTCAGGAAAGACTCCAATCTCCCTCCATCTCAGAAATTGCTATGGTACACTAAGTTCAGAAATTGCAATATTTTGTTAGTAATGTTAACAAATTCCTTTCCAGGACTAATCTAGCTCATGAAGTAAAAATTCCTTTTCATGAGTAATCTGGACTGTAAAGTGGTGACAGACAGTAATCTACAAATCACTACTTAAGAAGAAATCTATTTGAAGATCAAAAAGGGATACAAAGTTGTTTTTTTTTTCAGTAATTTAAATATTGCTTAAAATAAGGGAGCCATTCATTATCTGGAATGCTTTGAATGATAACAAAAACTAACACTTAGTAACTGTTTCATATGCCAGGCATTATGAGTTTTATAAGATTTAATATTTATATATTAATATTTATATCTAATATAAATATTAAATATTAATTTATAATTTAATATTTTGTATGAATAAGTAAGAATGGTCCTGTCATTATTTCCATTTTACAGATGAAGAAAGTTGAGGTTTATAGGGTTTAAGTGACTTATCTAAAGACACACAGCTATTAAATGATAGGGTCAAGATTCAAGTTAAGGCAGCCTAATTCCAGATCCCTGGAGGCTGTTAACTATCATGCTTGATCACCATCATCTGCTGATGTTAACATCTCAACTGTCAATAGGGTATTAAAGGCTCTCACAATTTTAAGGTAGTGCCTCCTACTAGTTTACTACTCTAAATCTAAACCTTAGGTTACATCTTATAAAATTTAAACAATCACTTATATCTATTAGGTAGGAGAAAGTCCTTTTTAAAAGACAGAAGGCAAAACAAAATAAGTAAAACTATAAAGAATAATTCAGAAATTCAAGAGTTTCAGGAATCACACCATGAGAACTTGAAACTGCCACACTTATGAGAAAAAAAAAAGAAAAATCCCAACCATCCTGCTGTGCAGAACTCTATTTTCATGTAGTGGAGTAACTAAATCACACTAACTAGGCTAAGATCCGATAACAAAAACTCTCATTGTTTTCAACATTAGCAAATGCACTCTAATATTCAAGTCACTTTGAGATCCAAAATGGTATTTGTAAGTGGAGTCTGTAATTTTCAGAACTATATTCATTTATATGACCAGGGAAGGAATTCATCAG